ATGAGTTGTCACTGCCACTTCCCCTGAGGCAAGGATTTATTATGCGAAAACATTAGCAACTGAGTGAGACCCCCGCGTATCAGATGTTTGGGTGTTCATGACGTTCGAGGCTCTTCCTGGAAGAGCTGGCGGCTGCAAGGTGTTTTCAGACATGCCGTACGTGATCCCGAAATCCCTGACATTACCATTGCTGACAGCATCCAATATGCAGTGACGTTCACGCCGAAGCGAGACGATACGATGTACGTACCGTAGCGTGCGCCTATGGTTGGCCCAACGAATGCAGGCGGCACCCTGGCTGGGCATCCCCGGACGATCCCAGATATTCTCAGCCTTCAGCAACCTTAAGCCTGCAGGGTCTGTGGATGGCGGCCTTCATTCGTCAGCCATACGTAACTCCAGAAACCAAGAAGGTTGCACCTTGGACATAGTTAATTGCTCCGCGCAGGGACTTTTTTGACGCTAACAGCTAGCAGTTACGCCTTCAAAGTAGCCTAACGTAGGTTATAGCGCCTCGGACCAGTTCCCACGGCGCGGCCATCCTTCGGGTCCCTGATATTAGAAACCTAGCCTGCGAAAAGAACGCTACTGTGTGCAGCCTGCGAACTACTGATGTTAGGTAGGTACAGTACCTACCTACCTACCCAATGACCTACCAGATTAGGTAGCGTAACACTGCTGACAGGGCCAACCGAGGTGATGGATTTCAACTCTTCTTGCTTTTCCCTCTTAACCAACTAACGCCTTCTGATCGCCGAGGTAGGTTTGCAGCTCTGGCCTTGCGTCGGCAGATTTAAGTGAGGGCTCGCTTGCAGTGTTTCGGAAGCTAGACCCGTTCCATGTTACGGAACCGCCTTGCGATTCTCGGTATGGCCGTTTCAAAAATATTGGAAAGCCCTGCCCCAAGGCTAAGCACACCTGCATGGTATCTAGGGCGGCCCGTAATTGACGACGATGTTCAAGATGCCTGGTCCACTGTCCCGATGGCCTCTGAGATCTACGTCAGGTTCTTTTAGCAGCCCCCTTCTAGCTACTTCTTTCTATCCGTGCAGCCTGTTCAAAGTGTGCAAGTTGTGTGAAGAGTGAAGAGTAGACATTTACGCGAAATTTATCATAACCTGTCAAACTGGGCAAAAGCCGCTTAAGAGCATGGACTAGGATTCACGACCCGTGTTGGCCTATTATTATAAGAGCCTCATTGCCTATATACTAGGTAGGCAAGCGATTCAAGATCAGCCCATCACATTTCTCAACATTAGACGACAGATGCATCGTTCGCTTCTTCTCGCAAACATGCAGATAGCTTCCAGAGTTCGCATTGCTCCACGGTAAAGTAGCGAGTGAGCTTTTCCCAATAACAGCATGTGGATGTCGCGAATGATGTCAAAATTAACAGCGCTGACACAGGGTTCTCCTGGGGGGTTGGTGGTTTTGTATCGGTTTCGTCGATCACGGCTCAGGATCTACCCGTACAGGGGCTTAGAACCAGACTCGCTACCGGCGGGACATAATTTCCAGCCGCTCTGCAATTCAGATCTTCTGCAACCAGGGTAGTTGCCATAGGGGCAGGCATAGGAGCAGCCAAGAGGGTTGGTATCCATCGCCAAAAATATGGGAGCGACTGCGACTGAATATCTACACCAATCTTGATTCCACACAGAGCTTATTCTACATTACGCTGTGCTGTTTCCTTGCACTTGCGAGAATCCGAGAAGCTTTTTCTCGTCATTCTTTTTCTTTGGGGGAAAAAAAAAATAGGTTTCCTAAGGATATCGCCCGGCTGCGGCGACGACAATATCCGAAAGATAGTCGACATTGGCAGCTGCTCTGTGAAACCATCTCCCAGCGTGTTCTTCTGAAAACATCAGCCTTGTCAAACCTCTATCAGATGCCAGACAATGGCACTAGGATAGACGTGATGCCCGACCCTTCCCCAGGTTGTGGAGCTTGGACGGTGAATACCTGCCATGGGTTTGTGACGTCGAGATTGTGATTCACGGTCGTGCTGTCTGGAAATCCACGAGGATCATTGGTGTTCTAGAAATAGGACCAAGAATAGATCAAATAAGCTTCAAAGCTTCATCCAAGCTGCAGAAGAGCCTCATTGCGTTTCAACCCTGTGGATCTACGCATGAATGATCCGTGGCAAACAGAAAGCTTAGCTTTCCTCGACATTTCTCAAGCCCTGGCAACAGATCAAGGGTTAATTTTAGAATCCGCTGTTTACATGGTAAAGTTTCATTGAATATGCAGGATACTATCGCCGTTGATGTTTCAAGCAATATCCGACGGCATAGTCACTGAAAGTCTAGCAATGTACTCACAAGGTCATCTCGTTGTACCTCATGTCACTTCCAGTTGTGGCAGGCATATGCTTCAGACGTGGACCTTAAAGAAACTCTATTTATTTTGCTAGTCGTTCCAGTGTCATGTTTCATGGAAGAGGCTATGGACGTAGGCGATCATCACATTGCGTGAACGCCAGGATATTGCAAATCATAGGGTGCCTCCAGGATCACCAGTCTGGGGTATGTGAGCTTGATTTACTCGGGTCTCGTTGCTCGCAAAACCCAGCCAATTTACAGTCGGATGAATTGTGTCAAGTGGCTGGCTAATACCTTGCTAGCTCCCACGTCTGCTGTATGCCTGTAGTCCCGTTATTGGCGACGACTGCTGTTATTGAGCATCTGCGATTGAGGATATCGGAACGTAACTAGTATCGTTTACTACCCTACCCCTATCCAACCCCTTTTCCGACCAAATGGACGAGTAAAGGGAAGGGAATGACCATCAAGTGATCTGCAAACTGACTAAAGAGGCCCAGTATCGTTATGCTGCATGGTTTCAGTCATGTAGAAGAAGTAGACGAATGACTGGCTGGTGGTTTGGAGCGTGTGGTAGTGTTAGCTGTGCCATCCCGGATGACGGGGATTGAAATGAATATATTCCAGTCAAAGAATTGAACGATGCCGACAAGCTCCGTGTCGTACCCATGGCTTTGCGTATACGAGCTTCCATAGCCGTGGAATTTCATCCGCAGTTGTTATGCCAACAACATTTAGTATACTCTCAAGCTTGTGATCACTGAATAGACCAAGACGAACCATCACGATGACTTTGAATCGGGATACTTCCCGTGGACGCCTCCTATTGACTTCGTGTACGATTTTAAATATGGCTCTCATGTGACGTTACTCGCTTCGTTGTTGCTGTGTAGTGCCCAAATTAATCACGACGATATTGGGGCTCTTCTGCTTGCTGAAGTCCCAGAGCTCGGGATTATTCATATGAGATTAACTCTGATGCTGTACTTCGATCGTCAACTTCGCGATAGATGCCTCCTACACGTCGCTTTGGCAGTAGTAATCAAGACCAGAAGACCAGCCTCCCAAGCTTGTGTCAGACGTTCAGAACCATCGATAACCTGTCCTCGAGGGTTGCCGCAGCAGTCTTGGTAAGAGGCACGAATACCAGGATATGCCGTAATGGAGTATTCCGTGTCCCCAGGCCGGCGCCAACCCCATACTGTTTACCACGAACAAGTCAGTCTCCTCATTCTCGTTTTTTTTATAGAAGGTACCCATCAGTTTTCTAGTCTTTCTGTGTCCCGACCTCGACGACTTGCTCGGAGTAGTCGCAGAAGCACCTCGCGCTTTCTGTAGATATAGGGGAAATTTGAGAATTGAACTCCCTCGTAAGATGTGTACGTGCCTGCGGACAGTGAGCCTCCAGTAAACTCGATTGAACGACCATAATTGGGAATCTTCAATAGGCTCTCGCCGCTTGCCACATGGACTTGGTCAATCCGAACGCCATATGTCCAATTCGTGACCCGCAGCCCCAATTTCAATGGGTTGATAGGGTATGCCAGGTTCACACTTGCCGTATCCGGACTGACTAGCAAATTGGTGCAACTCGCCATAAAATTAGTGAACTGCCAGTCCACACCTCCAACCTGGTACCTGATGAGGCTCGTGTCGATTGTCTCGTTGTCAAAAGTTATCGCGACTGTCTCCCCGGTAGAATCAAGGACAAGACTGGGGGTGGATCATCAGGAAACTTTCTTGGGATCCCATAGTACCTTGTACGGCAGCTCAAAACCTTTGCACCGTAAGTCTCGAATGAGTACGTCGAGGCATATTTTTTGGTTTCAGGGAAGTTTCTTTTTCCAACTTGGCCATTTTGAAGTATAATTCCCTCAACCACAAATCCGCAGCCGAGGGTCGAGGTGAGAAGTCGAAGCAGCATGGTCAAAGGGAGTCGACATGTTCGTGCCGCAACCAACGAAGAACGGCAGACTGGCGAAAGCTGAAAAGAAAGAGCGAGGAGAAGGCTACATATACTTACGGCTACATATACTTACCTTGAGCCCGGCAAGTTCGCTACACTTGGATACACGAGATTAATCTGCCGTGTGGCTTTACGGGTGATAGAGTAGTGTCGATCTACAAAGGACGGTCCATAATACTTTGCTCTCGCTTGGGCTCCGGTCAAACCCATGCTGGCTGGAGGTCAACAGAGTAAAACCACTCTTGATGGTTCCCTGGGAGAATAAGCCTCAAGTGGCCACCCTCAGCTTGAATATCCATACTTTTGGACTTGATCTGACCGGTCCGGTAACTGATGAAGCCTACCGTGTTGTGACCACGATTGTCCGCCATAGCGCCCTTCGATACCAGTGTCAAGTCGATGGCCGAAGATGATCTATGCCAGCTAGACATAGAGTAATCACATTATTTCACAATCTAGAAATTCTTACTTACTTAATTAAATAACGATAATATGTTCGGCTTTTGGATTGTTATTATATATTATATTACCTTTTTATTTTCAACTCTTTTTAATAAAGAATAATGTTTACCGAGAGCTATTTTCTGTTAACAAATAATTTCTATAAAAGAAAAAGTATCTTACTCGCTATCTATCTTGCTCGCTTATTTTCTAATTTTAATCGGTATTATAAAGGGATAAGCGGCTATTTTGTAACAGCATTCACAGCTGGTCTGGTGGTCTAGTGGTATGATTCGCGCTTAGGGCCCACCCTACAGCAAAATTTGCGCAAGGTTAGCAAAAATGCGCGAGGTCCCGGGTTCGATCCCCGGCCAGACCCCTTATTTTGTCTATCTTTTTTTCCTTGCTTTATTTTTTTTTGTAAAAAATCCAACTATTTTCCCTTTACTAAGTAAGCTAGGCCAATTATTTACTCTTTTGACAATTGGAAGTCTCCTGAGCGGGGCTGCTCTGGCGCATGAATTCTTTGTCGAATTAGGTATCTATCGATTAGCACGAGGGACGTTGTTCATGACCAACGATTCGCGACACAAGCGTACCCACATTTCTTGATAGCTTTGCATAGATTGAAGGCATGAAATGAACGCTGCGCCGCATTTATACTTGAATCACCCACCGTTATTGGACATCGTGACAATCGAAACTCCCTCCGCGGGTCGAGCCGATTATCGACTGTAATTGTACGGCGATGTACCATTACACGGCAGTTCTTGCGCTTCGGCTCTGGCTGTTAGGACCGTTACTCAAGGTACGTAGTACTGCCATGTCCTTTGGCGTTTTTATTTCAACCCGACCCGCCGTAAGCTGTGTAATTATTGGACGGCCGAGTTCCAGTAGTCCGGAACGCATTTTGCGTAATATTGTCCATCCAAACGAAGAGGTCGGCAAATGTCGCTCCCAATACAAGGTACTGTATCTTTCCAGCATCTCGACCTCTCCGGCTGCCAAGAGCTTTTAATCAGCAATGCGTGAAAGCGTCTAACAGTATTCGACAGCTCCCGAATGCGGCATTGCATCCACCTGTGGAGCAGATTGAACGAACCTGTGGCAGCCATCCAATCAAAAACTCCATGTACGCGCCGTCATGCAAGCTGGTGGTTCACCATGACAAGTCCACAATGTGTCGTCGAATCCAATCAGGACCTATTCTTTGACAGGAACCAAGCTTCGAGGTATTCGCCTCCTTGTAGGAACCACAGCGCCGCCCGTTACCATTCGATAATCATTCAAGCCCCCAAATGCAGCTCCAGTGTTGGCCTGTGGTAGCAAACATGGTTCGAGGCTCGTTGTTGGAGGAAAGCCCCAAGGTGCTTCGACAGGATGCGTACCTGCTGATAGAAGGCTTCGGACGCTGCACGCGATGCAGCCCGTGTGGATAAATAAGCTGTATGCCAAAAGGTAAGACTCGCGAGATTGGCTTGCGTCAGCTCACTGGTCCGCAACGCCTTCTCCTTGACCGTAATCCCCCAATATTCCACGCCTCAACACCTTCAATGCTCTCTACTGTGGTAGTCAGGACTCAGGAAGCTTCGGCGTATGTGATCGACCTCGAGTGGACTAGAAATCTGCAAGCGCAACTCTCTAGCACACCAAACCCATGTCGACGGTGCCGACGCCTCCCGCCTCTAGGACCCTTTTGTGATAACGGGCCGTCAAGGGTTCTGTGAGAAGAGCTCACCTCAAGCGCCCTACATACCTAGGTAGGTGGTATCTTTGCATACGTCCACCTGTTCGGTGCAACCTGCAGTGTATGCGGGGAACAACCACTCTTGCGACCAGCCAATATTAAAGTGCGGTCAGCCGCTGGGCCTTGTGCCATCCTGTCGCCGTTCACATTCACTTGTCGGGGTGCTCGGTCCACACCAGGTTTTCCTGTTCTCTGATTGACCGTGAGGTTGACTTGCCGAGTCCCATCATCACAAGGCCAATCTCGCGTGCTCTACAATATTGCGATTTAGCTGTTGCGCGCGCATTGTTCAGCATCACTGTTACAGTGACTATCCACTCTGCTCAAGTTGCATCTGTCTAAGAGGGACTAGTTGTGTGATACAGGGTCGCTCTTGTTTAGCTTCCTATATCCGTACCACCCGGCTCCATCATTTCTCAGGACCCGGACTCCCTACATCTCGCGATCTCGCGCCAATTGTCGTCTGGTTTCTCTGACGTCTGGTCGTTGTCTCTCATTATCTTTCTAATACAGTGGGTTGAGGGGTCTGGTATTCCTCATCGTGCGACTCGGGCTTCGCATCGTTTTTTTCAACCGTCCCGAGCATATAGATAGTCGTCCTAGCGCACACGAATAGTCTTCTCCGGATACAGGACAACACTGGGCTCTCAATTGTGTAGACAGCGAGAACCGAACCGCTACGCGAATTTCAGCGCCATCTGGTTATATTCAGTCAAAAATTCAGATGTTCCCAATGTCGATACTATAGCCACCTGCATATTCAACCTATACTACTCGGAATAGGTGAAAGTAGGGTCGCCATATCGATCGAAGCCCCGCGAGAAAGTTTTGAAGATGGCGGCGGAGGTCCACTCGGTAGTGGCAGGGGCATCGCGGACCCTTGCGCAGTTTGCGAAACGAATACATATTCCACTGACGGCAACGAGTCCGCCAGGACTGGTGGAGGCCGACACAGTAGACCCATGGGACCAGTCGGGCAAGTACGCCCTGGGTTGGACGTACTTTTCTCTAGCGTTGATGGGATGCGTATTGTTCGTGAGGATATGGCATTGGTGGCAGGACAAAATTCGACAAGCTATCTACAAGCAAGAGGTAGAACAGCACTACGCGAATCTTTACAGCTTGGATCCCGACTACGCAACGAATGCAATGCAAACGGGACAGACCGGAAGGCACTTCTTCCCTGAGAATCACGAGGAGAAAAGGGACTTCAAACCGAGAACCGACTTTTCCTCGATAGGTCCTGTTCTCGACGCGCTTGCATTGTTCAGATGGATCTTCTACCGGCCCATTCCCGACGTTGTGTGGCGGAGGCGTCGATTCACCTTCTCATCCATTGCGGTGCTAGGAGTTGGGTTCGTTGCACTGGCTTTCGTCACACTATACACATTCCTACTGCAGCCTCTATACTGGCAGAGCATCCAATACGGGTCGCCACCAGTTGCGATTCGGGCGGGCATGATAGCTGTTGCGATGACGCCATGGATCGTTGCAACGAGCATGAAGGCCAATCTTCTGACTCTCATCACCGGAATTGGACCAGAAAGACTCAACGTCTTCCACCGATGGGCAGGGTACTTGTGTCTTTTTCTTTCTCTCGTACATACAGTCCCATTTTACGTCCAACCAGTATGGGATGATGGAGGCATGGCGACTTTCTCGCGATTATTCCCAGAAGGCAGTGGTGTTATCTACGGCACTGGCATTGCTTGCCTCGTTCCACTCGTTTGGCTTTGCATTGCGTCCCTTCCCTTCATCCGGCGGACTGCATACGAATTGTTTGTGATGCTTCATGTTCCGGTGGGAGCCATCTACGTAGGCGTCCTCTTCTGGCATACAAAGAACTACCTCGGCTCATGGGATTATCTCTATGCATCAGTCGGTATCTGGGCCCTCTGCTACATGATGCGATTTTTCCAGCTCAACTGGACTAAACCGTGGCGTCTCTCGTTCATGGTTGGAGATGAAGCGGCGATCACCCTGATGACGGAGAATGCGATCAAGATCACGATTCCTACGCAGATGAAGTGGAACCCGGGTCAATATGTATATCTCCGCATGCCGGGTATCTCGTTCCTCGACAACCACCCTTTTACAATTTCGTCCCTCTGCAGTGACGATTTTCCATCGGAGTACGGCGAGCAGTATCGAGACTGCGTTCTCGTGTTCAAGCCATACGGAGGCTTTACACGCAGGGTGCTTGAAACAGCCATTGAGAAGGGGCCTTTCCATACTTACAGGGCCTACCTTGATGGGCCGTACGGAGGCATGCGACGAGAGCTGGCCGCATTCGACACTTGCATCCTGATCGCCGGTGGAAGCGGTATCACTGCGCTGATGTCTCAGTTGTTGAACCTCATCAAGCGGATGAGAGATGGCAAGGCTATCACGAAGAAAGTTGTGGTTGTATGGGCTCTGAAGCGGCTGGAAGCAATGGATTGGTTCCGTGAAGAACTTCGAATCTGTCGGGAAGCAGCACCACCAGAGAGCGTGACTTGCAAGTTCTTTGTGACAGGAGCTGTCAGAAACAGGCAATTCGGTGCCGATACCGGTGGGCGTGCACCGAGACCCTTGAGTCACATGTTCCATGACAAGTTGGATGGCTTCGTCGCTGGCATCGCCTCGAAGCGCAATTCAACGTATATACGCGATGAGGCCCAAGGGAATACCGACTACGAGCAAGAACTGCGTGACGAGGACGAGGATAGGATAACTGCCCTTCCCCAGCAGAAATACCTACAACCACATCAAATCCCACCTCAGCGACCCCCGCCCGCAAATCGTGAATCAGCCATGGAAGAGTCTCTAGCCAGACTCGAGGGCCGAGACGGTGAGGAGCTCGAAGACTTGGAAGAGCTACCACGCCCTCCTGCAGTACCGGATTACCCCGAGGACAAGCCCAAACGCTTCCTCTTCCCGCCCCTCCAAACCCGTCCAGAATTACAACCGCACTTCAACTTTGCACCGCCTTCGCCCCGTAGACTCCCAGGCTCCAACGGTCACACTCCAGACGGGCGCTCCGCTGAGCTGTCGCAAGACCTGCCCGCACCCCCTGAATTCGCACATCTTCGAACCACCAACTTGCCTAACCAAGGGCCGAGACCGACGTCAACTTTCGGGCCGCCATCCGGCTTTGATTTCGGTTTCCCGGAGACGCCGACTGAGTTCCAGAAATCCCTCATGAGGTTCGCGTTCCCGGTACCACACCAGATCGACGGTGGCTGGAGTGTCGAGTACGGCAGGCCTGATCTGGGCTACATGCTCAAGGAGTGGGCGACTGGTGGCGCTGACGGACGAGGCATCCTTGGCCGTAGGACGGCGGTGTTCGTCTGCGGGCCGCCGAGTATGCGAGTCGGCGTTGCAAATACCGTCGCTCGACTACAAGCTGAGATATGGGGTGACGATTTACTAGAGGAAATCTTCTTGCATACGGAGAATTATGCGTTGTAGGAAGGACGAGCCATGTAACTGTATGTGCAACTTGTCTCTCTCTACACTGGGGCGGCGAGAGAGACGAAGAACGAAGCGATGATAACCGGCGTTGCGACTGGAACTATTGAGATACCAAAGCTACATAGAACGGGCTTACAGGGTCTGTATTTGACAAGGGTTCGTCTTGGATTTAAGATGTA